TGTGCGTGGGTGGGGGGACACGGGAGGGGGAAACATCCCCTTCGGTGTGATTTAAATGCCCATCTCTTCCCCTTAGGGCCGGGGTCGCGCTCTCCTGTCCTAAACTTCCCTCTCGGGGGCGGGGGGGTTATCCAGGTTCTCCATCACTTCCTCAAAATTCCCCTTGTTTTCATCCAGCCCCTTATTTGTAGCCGCTCTGGATGGTTCAGAGAGAAAGAAAAAACCCAAATAAAACCTCCCTGCGTGTCGCTGCCTTTTGTTTGCCGTCACCTCTGTCAGCCAGGTAGCCTTGTGCTGGGGAACAGCCGATGTTGGTGTCCTTAGACCTGGAAGAGCTTTGTGCAAACAAAAGCAAGGCATTAAGGCTTTGCGCTCCTTCAATCATCCTGTTCAGGTACAATGGGTTAAAAACACACATTAAAAATGACCGGTTATCAGTTAAAACATAGACGCTTTCTAAAACGAAGTGCGCTGCTTAACGCGTGTTAAACTTTCCCCTGATCTAGGGAAGAGTTTTCAACCTTTTTGCATTGTTTATCGCTTTCTCATCCATCCCCCCTCTCCTCCTCCCGTCAAAAGACTCGAATCGAGTGGAAAGTTTGTTGGTAAAATCAAGCTAGTAGTGGAAATCGTAGGAGGGGGAGAGCAGAGCAGGCGAGGCTTAAAACAAGGGGGGAATTTCAAAGTTTCTCCTTTATCTCAAATTTTAATGATGATCAGCGTCGAGAGCAATGCAGGAATTGCGTGTTCTTGAGCGTGTTCGTGTTTTTTTAACTTATTCTGTGGTTCTTTTCCCCAAGAGGCTTGAATCCTGTGATGCTGCAGCATCAGCTCCTGGGTTCTCACTAGAAAACGAACATCAGTGATTTCAAGAAGAGCGCTAACGTCCGTCTTTAGGAGTCTCAGGAAACGGGGCTGTTGTAGGGTTTTCTGACTGTGGAAACAGCTGCCACGCTTCACTAGGTTGGGTTTCAACTAATTTCGTACCTTGCTTGGAGGAAATTAAGGGAGTTTTGAGAAAAATAACGGAGCGTACGAGTTCTTTGGGGTCCGATCCAAAGGGGTATATTAGGAGGCTGACGCCCGCAAACACGAGGAGATCCCTCGTGGGTTCTTGCAGGTAGCTTAGGAAGAATTGTCCCCGCTCGGTGGGCGCTAACATCTGGGTTTAATTACAATTAGATGCAGATTTGTAACGATACCAAAGTTGCCCTGCGCGTAAATAGCTGCAGGATTGGAATCAGAGGTGTTTCTCTGCTGTAGAGTACCCAGTCCCTACAGCGACGGCAACTCGAGGAAATGAGTTTTCCTGATTTTTATCCTAGAAAATTCTTCAGCTCGGTTGTAGAACAAGTAGTGCAGCGGGGTCCTGATTTCTGCCCAGGCCCTTTGTGTTGTTTTAGCGCAGATCACAGAATTACAGTGGCATTGCTCTAGTAAAGAACTAAGTGTTTGGGCAGTTAATTATTTGTTCTTTTTTATTATTATTATTTCAGTATCTTGGACAATTTGTACTTGAGATCGGTTGGGTTTACTCGCAGTTTGTGTCATCTGTGAAGTGTAGAGAGTAAAGCGTTGGGTTTGTGAGCTGGACCTGGTGATAATGAGCTAGCCTGGGAACAGGCCGACTTGAGGAAGGTTCCAGTGGAAAAAAGCAAAAGCGGGCTTCAGTCTGGTTTCATTTCGAGTGAAACTCACTCAAAATGGAAGGATTCACAGCAAAGCGGGATTTGGTCATGAGCGCCGAAATAATCAAGGTGTGATTGACTTTCTCCGGCGGCGTTTTTGAAAGCCTTAGTTACGAGGTGGTTTTGACGTGTGCTTGATTGTAAAATGAAGTCAGACAGCTGGCAGATGACGATGATTTTCGTCTCCATCATCTTCAGGTGCCGAGGCTCTTCCCTTGCCTCACTTGCGCAAATGCTTTTAGGTGGCGTTTAACCGTTCTTGGAGTTAGCGTGAAACATCAAGGTGTTTGCAGGATGGGGACCGCCTCTGTGTGCTTTGGGTTAGAGTTAAATCAAGAGTTTTATTAAAGATGTTTGGTCAAATGAATGACCGTGAATCAAGCAACTGCTGATTCGGCAGGACAGAAATGTTCCTCTGCTCAAAGGCCCCTTGGCTAAAACGGAGGAGCAAAGTGCTTGAATTTTAACAAAAGCAGTTCACTGCCTCGGCGGGGGCTCGGGCTATCAGAGTGGGTTAATCCCCTTCGAAAACGGCTTCTTGTTCGGAAACAAGCTGTTGTAATTTTAGCTTAATCTATTGAATTTTAGACCTTGTGAGCGCTTGCTTCAAAACCAGATTTCCCGCTGAAAGTTTATACTGTTTCCTCCTGATAAAGTAAGTGAAGAGAGTCGATGCAGCTACCGAGCTTGGCTTGTATTGATCCTAATTAGAAGCAGGCTCGTTTACTTTGGGGCCATAAAATGAATTTGGGGTAAAAAGAAGGATATGGCAAAGAGAGCTTTGCAAATAGTTGCATCGGAGTAGCATGAATGAAAGCTATCTCCTCGCTTGGCAACCGGACGAAGGCAACCTGGTTCTTTACCTCGTTGAACTATATTAGTTTACAGACCGTTAATTCTCCCAGCGCAGGCTGCGCTGGCTCGTATCGGGGAGCACTTTACCATCGGTGCCCTTCGTTTCAGAAATACGAGCGGGAGCTTTGGAAAAACCCAATTTTAATGGGAAATCCTCATGGGAATAAGGAGCCAAAATAATATACTTATGGCCACAGACGAGAAGCAGGAGGGAAAATCAAGCAGTTGGGTGCAGCTCAGGCTCCTGAGTTGTCTTTGGGGGAAATCGTATGAGGGGATGGTTCAAAGCGTTTACCTCGCGCCGCGTGCTCGGTAAACGAGCGCATGGTGCTCGTTAAATTGCTGGGCAGGTAAAAACTGAGGGGTTAATGCTCCCAAAGAAGGCAGTCCGTGCAGTTGGGGGTGAGGGGTGTGTGACAAACCTGGCTGTAATCGTTATCGTGGCCGCTATTCAGATCTTCAGAATATAAATCATTGGGAGCAGAAAACTTGGCTTTCGTGAATGAGTTTGCGTACTTCTGATTTCTGTTACTGCTTCCAATTATCGATGCCGGTTATCTCTGTTCCTGCGTACGCTCAGCAAGCAGGCTGCGGGGACGGACCAGCCTGCCAGCGTTGCTAACTGCTTTTCTGTTGTTTTCAGATTACAGACAAGTGTGGTACCGGTGCAGTCTTTTTAGTGGAAGAATCTAAATAAGCACATTTTGAACGTGTGGAGGGCCATTTAAAAGCAAAAATGGTAAGGATCGGGAGGTTTTGGACTCGCGAGATAAATACCTGTGTGTTGCCTCTGGCTAAAATTGTCTCAAAATCCCTTTTCAGCGACCAATGCGTATTTTTGTGAACGACGACCGCCATGTGATGGCCAAGCACTCGGCCGTTTACCCGACGCAGGAGGAGCTGGAGGCGGTTCAGAATATGGTGTCCCACACGGAGCGGGCGCTCAAAGCTGTGTCCGACTGGATCGACGAGCAGGAAAAAGTCGGCGGGGAACAGCCAGAAACAGAGTCCATGGAGACGGCAGCCGAAGAGGAAAACAAGGAAGGAGGGTAAGGAACATCACCGAACTCGTGCCCGTAAGGGCCGCCATCGGAAGCAATAGCGCCGTCTTAACTTCGATTAGTAAAAATCCGCTCACTGAAGTTGGAAGAGTTGTTCTCCTGGGCTGTGGGATTAAGAGGAATTAACTAACCCGGGGCTGAAGCGACTCTTCCCGTGCAGGTGTGGTAAATCCTTCAGCGGGAGAGTTGTGTGCTTAATCTCTGCAGATCTATCCCTTAGCTTGGGTTGGGCGGTGGTGCTTCCCCGGCTGCGGTTGATTCTTCTCGTTCCGAAGCCGTTGCGATTGTGGCCTGTATATTTTGCAGGGATCAGAAGGCCACGGAGCAGTTGACGAGGACCCTGCGTGGAGTGATGCGTGTAGGGCTTGTGGCAAAAGGCCTGTTACTGAAGGGGGACTTGGATCTTGAGCTAGTTCTTTTGTGCAAAGACAAACCCACCACAGATCTCCTGGAGAAAGTAGCTGACAATCTGGGAGTTCAGCTTGCTGTGAGTGAAACCTTTCGATGTTTGTCCGTATTTGTTACGGAACAAGCGAAATAAGTAAATGGTTAAAAAGATGCCGATGACGCTTGGTTTTGATAGCCTTTTTTCTGTCTTGGAAAAGTAGTTTTCATAGATGCGTAGCATTATTCTTGTTAAATGAACTTCTCTTTCTTAGCTGAAGTTTTGTTTATAGGCCTTGATTTTGTTGGGAAAGGATGTTGCAAATCGCTCGGAAACAAATTAGACTTTTACTGAGCAATAAAATTATATCGCAGGCTATTACCGAAGACAAATACGAAATAATCCAGTCGGTTGGCGATGCTGCGATTGTAATTAAGAACACGAAAGAGCCGCCGTTGACACTGACCATCCACTTGACGTCGCCCGTAGTCAGAGAAGAAATGGAAAAACAGTTAGCTGGAGGTATGGAGGACTGAAAACAGCCAACAGTTGGTTGGAAACCTGTACATTTCCGTTGCTAATTCACTGTTAAAGCGTGCTCTTCAGTTTCAGCTGAAGCTGCGACAATTATTTTTGGTGTAAATTCAAAATTCCGTAAGCGAACACCAACCTCATGAGATCACGGTTCCGGTTTATTCAGACTGAGCTTCCGAAACTGAGTAGCACCTTTCAGATGGGATTTTGCTCTATTTTTTTTATCTTTTTTTTTTTTTTTGTACTTGAGCCTTTAGTTCACTAATACGTCATCTTGTTGTATTAATCTTGTTTTGTATCTAGCCATGTCAGTGGCCTGCACAGTGACATAAAAACATGAACCAGATACATTTAAAAAAAAAAAAAAAAAATCTTGAAGGCTTCTTGTTAAATGACTTGCATGTACATGAAATTGGATGTTCCACGCAGTTTGTGTTGCAGCAAGAATGATAGGTGCTCTGGGTCTCCTCGATTGGCTGTTTCATCAGCTGAATTCACAATTCCAGAAAGCGATGCAGAGTTTTGGATAAAGTTAGCTTCTCCATTCGCTCTCAAATTCCATTTGGAATAAGAACTCACAGGCGTTTTGGTTGGTGGTTGGTTTTTTTTTTTGCGCATAAGCTGCTTCGCTACGATGGGTTCTGTATCGTAGCCACGGCGCTGTCAAATTGGGTTTCAAACGCTCGCTCTGTGCACTAGCCTTATCTAAAACCCTGATCTTGAGAAACTTTGAGCTTTTTCAAACCATATCTTCAATTTTGCTGCAGCACAGACTGAAAAATATCTTTGTGCTCTATTGACTGTCTATGGTTTTGATATCTGACCTCGTCTACCAAGCCTTCTAGTTTGTCAATTTTAGGGACGCTGGACCTTTGACCAACAGGACGCTCTCTGTCACGGGTTGGGGCCAGGGCAGTCAAGCCTTATGGGCGGAGGGGGTTCCCTTGATCCTCACAAAGCTTTTTCCCCCCGCTCCTCCACTAAAGCTACGCTCTGAATGCGGAGTGGGGGTTTATTTTAAATTTCCCTTTGTTACCTATTACCGGCCTCGTACGCTCCCACTTCACTTGAGCCGTAAAGGATTCCTGTCCTCTCCCATCGAGCCTCACGCCCCATCGCAGAACAGATCTCAGTCCATCCCTGTTAATTAAACTCCCCTCCCCCCCACCTCCTTCTCTGCAGTTTTAATTTCTAAGCAAGGCCGCTAGGCGAGTGCACTGCAGACCATCCTTCCAGGTACAGGATCTAGATCAGGATCTTTTGGGAGCCTCAGCTGCCCGTTAGGAAGCTGCCTCATCCCCTCTCCGCCTGACAGAACCCCCTTGGTCAAACTGTACCTTGTCTTCTTATTCCATCCACGAATAGAAACGCTATCAGTCAACGACTCCCCGGACGTTCTGGACAGGCAGAAATGCCTTGCTGCCTTGGCGTCACTGCGACACGCCAAGTGGTTCCAGGTTTGCATTTTGTTCTTATATTTGTCTTTAAGTAGAAAATTTGTAAACTATTAAGGGGCTAACTATTTTTTTTTATTTATTTTTTTGTTTTTTTGGTATTTAAAATATTTAACGTCGGATGATAGTTAGACGTGCTGAACTTAGCGTCTGTCAACGGTACAGTTGCTAAAGAAGCACTTAAGCGAATTAAACATTCTGAAGGAACCTTTTTTAAAGAGTAGATGCATAGCTGCTGCTTTGTGTTAAGAGTAATGTTGCCTTTGTACACTACAGTTATTGCTATCAGTTCTAAAATGGTAACACGAAATACTGTTTACCCTTGGCAAAGTAGCACCGCAAAAATGACTGTCTGCGAATGAGCAGTTTTGGTGTTTTTATTGAATGCATGTCTGCTTTTATTTCTTATTCTAGGCCAGGGCTAACGGGCTGAAGTCGTGCGTCATAGTGATCCGAGTGCTGCGAGATCTGTGTACTCGGGTTCCTACTTGGGCACCGCTGAGAGGATGGGTAATTTGCCTATTTTCTTTCATTTTGGGGGGGTGCTTGGTACCACTTCTCCAAGCTGGTGTTCAGCTCTCTTCAGTTTGCGCACCTTCCGTGAGAGACGTATATAGTCCAAACAGAGTTTCCGCCTTTAAGATGCCTATGAAATGTCTGTGGTGTGAAGTGTCTTATCGATTAACAACTTCTACAGTGTAAATCGCTTAATCGTTTGCGAATTTGAAGCAGCTTCTAGCCGTAATTGCGGCCCGAGCGCCTACCTTTGCTTCTCTCACTCTTCCCAACTGTCTTTCAGCCTCTAGAGCTGCTGTGTGAGAAATCTATCGGAACTGCTAACAGACCCATGGGCGCTGGCGAGGCGCTGAGGAGAGTTCTTGAATGCCTTGCCTCGGGAATCGTTATGCCAGGTTAGGTGGTTCTCTGCATTTACATTTCAAAGCGAAGCTGAAATGAAAACGCGGTTGAAGCTTCGAGGCGCGGTTACCTTAGCGTTTGAGAAATCCCTTGCTATACGTGCGGGCAGCCTAGATTCGGAGCTCAGAAAGCCCCCGGCGTACCCGGGTACTCCAGTACCTTGCTGTGACTTAGGGCACGTGTGTTCAGAGCTACGGACCCATGACGTTAAACCCCCGTAGAGAGAGGTACCAGTTTCTACAAGCGTTAAATTGGTTCCCTGAGTGGTCGTGGCCAGCTCCACCAATAATTGTCCGTGTAAAATAGCCCGGACGAGTTTCAGAATGTTGGACATTGGATGGATCGTGTCGGTCCGTGTTCTTCGAGAGATGAGTGTTGATTGATGCCAAGGGAATACTTAGTTTAGTTTCTTTAGAAAACACCAGGATAATTCTCTGCATATCTTCCTTGTTTCCTGCCTTCAGATGGTTCTGGTATTTATGATCCTTGTGAAAAAGAAGCCACTGATGCTATTGGGCATCTAGACAGACAACAAAGGGAAGATATCACACAGAGTGCTCAGGTATAGTTTTGACTACAGATGTTACAAAAACTTAATCAGTTCAACTGACTCTGAACTTCCATATTGGTTAATGGTAGTATAGTAACCTCACGGAGGTCGGTGTTAACTTTTTTAATATCTAGTCAAGTAAAAGAAATACAAATGGGTCCCACACCAATAAGGCATTTGTAGCTTGGCCAACCAGAAGCAAAGTATCAGGTTTTAAATAGCGACTTGCTACCGTGACCCGTATTTTGGGTTGAACTTCAAAAAATTCAGAGAGTCCTATTTAAACCGATGAGGATTTCTGTGTAGGGGTGGGTAGAATGTTCCTGTCTGAAACTGTGCAGGGAACAGAGAGTGGTGGAGCCGCCTGCGTGTCCCAGTAACACATGTTTAATCTTTCTAGCATGCTCTGAGACTTGCTGCTTTTGGCCAGCTTCACAAAGTCTTGGGGATGGATCCCCTCCCTTCCAAAATGCCCAAGAAACCAAAGAATGAAAACCCTGTTGACTATACTGGTAGGTACCGGGGTGGGGGGGCAAAAAAACAAACCCAAAATCACATTTCCAAGGCTTTTGGTGCTGTGGAAACTGGAATACTTAAATTTTTTTTGTTATGGTTGTTACAGTCCAGATTCCTCCCAGTACAACGTACGCTGTCACTCCAATGAAGCGTCCGATGGAGGAGGATGGAGAGGAGAAATCTCCCAGCAAAAAGAAAAAGAAGATTCAGAAAAAAGGTATTGAGTTAACAAGAGGTAGGTACAAACGGCTACCCGAGAGCTGTTCTTGGGCTAAGGCGGGGGGCAGGCTGCGGAAGAACTCTGCAATGGTTTGGGCTTGGGTGATGCCGTAAATAGGAGTTATGGGGCATGTGAGTTGTTTTTTTTAAAAAAGCTTAATACTGTAACATTTTTACTGGGCATAACTTAAAATGCTCGCAAAGAGGAAAGCACAGATCAGAACTTTTCTGAAATCAGTTATGCTTCTTTGAAAGAGATGACAAACATCTGCAAACTCCTTTTTTTTTTTTTCTTTTTTTTTTTTTTTTTTTCTCCAGAGGAAAAACTTGAACCTCCCCAGGCCATGAATGCACTGATGAAACTGAACCAGCTCAAACCCGGGCTCCAGTACAAACTCGTCTCTCAGACCGGCCCCGTTCACGCTCCTATCTTTACAATGTCTGTGGAAATCGATGGCAGCACGTTTGAGGCATCGGGACCTTCCAAAAAGACGGCCAAATTGCACGTGGCGGTGAAGGTAAGAGCCTTCTTAATGTAAATTCCTGCTGGAGGGCTCTCGTTAAGAGGCAGTTTGATTGCTGACCTCTCCAAGTTGAAAAGGGCAAGCCGGATTGCTGGTGATGAAAGTCACGGTGACGACCGCCTATGAAAAACATCGTAAACCTTTCAGGACAGACAGGGCAGAAGTTAAACACTGAGACAATGAAGTCTCAGGGCAGAGGACTTCATACCTCCTAGGTCCTGAAGTGCCTGTGGGATCTGGGGAATGCCTAGCACTTGAACGGAGTTAATAAAAGGATTCTTGAGCAGCCTTCTCGAGTGTTTACCCCGAAGTGGGTAGGGCACGTGAGAGCCAGAGGCTCTTTGAGCTACGCGCAGTTCAGTAACCTCCTCTCCGACTCTCCTTACCCTAGGTGTTGCAAGATATGGGTTTACCCACGGGAGTAGAAGGCAAAGAATCTGGGAAAGGAGACGAATCGGCAGAGGAAACAGAACAGAAGCCAGTCGTTGTCGCTCCTCCTCCTGTAGTAGAAACTGTCTCAACGCCCACCGCTGCTTCTCCTCCCTCAGATCAGACCCCTGAGGTGAGCACGTTGAAAAGGGGGAGTTGGGCCACTCCGATTCTTAAATTAAGAGTTAAAACCATCAGGCAAGCTTATGCCAAGCTTGTTCTCTTTAAGGTATTTCCCAAAGTATGTGTTTTGGAAGCAACTTGAAGTCCTTTAGGGTTTTTCATCACCACTTCTCTACTTCCAGAATGTGAAACAACAGGGACCAATTCTGACAAAGCACGGGAAGAACCCGGTGATGGAGCTCAACGAGAAAAGGCGCGGGCTGAAATACGAACTGATATCGGAAACGGGCGGCAGCCACGACAAGCGCTTTGTCATGGAGGTGAGTGCTCTCTGCGCCTTTGTCCCAAGGCCAGCTATCTGTAATTTTGCAGCCTCAGTGAGAATTTAAAATCCTAAAATCACAGAATGGTTTGGGTTAGAAGGGACTTTTAAAGATCGTTTAGTGGGCTGGGATGCTTTCACTAGGTCGGGTTGCTCAAAGCCTCATGCAGCTTGACTTTAATACTTCCAAGTTCTGGAATTGTCTGCAGGCACCATAAAAAAAAAAAAGCTTCATTTTACCAAGCGGCAGCTTCTGCTCCTGCCCTTTCCGCTTCCGCTCAATGATTTCATCCCTTTCACAGGTGGAAGTCGATGGGCAGAAATTCCAAGGAGCTGGTTCAAATAAAAAGGTGGCAAAAGCCTACGCCGCTCTGGCCGCGCTCGAGAAGTTGTTTCCGGATGCTCCTGTTGCCATTGAGCAAAACAAGAAGAAGAGGGCCCCCGTGCCAGCTAGGGGAGGACCCAAGTTTGCAGTAAAAGTAAGTAAATTCCCAATTCGACGGCTTTGTGGTGCGATCTGTGGTACCGTTGTCTCCTGCTCTACGGTTTTAATCTCTTTTTGGGAGGGGGAAATCATTTAATGTGCAGAGAGAAACGAGGATCCGACTAAGAAAGCAGAAATACCATCGAGTTTTACAGAAAACAACCTCTGTTTTCCGGAGATGACGCTTACCTTAACGGCTCTGCCTCTCATCCCTCAGCAGCACAACCCGGGTTTCGGAATGGGAGGCCCCATGCACAACGAAGTTCCCCCTCCGCCCAACATGCGAGGTCGCGGAAGGGGTGGCAACATCAGAGGCCGCGGGAGAGGCAGGGGCGGATTCGGCGGCAATCACGGCGGCTACATGAATGCAGGTGAGAGACGCCGCTAAACGCACCCCAAACCAAAAACCCCGGCAGGCGAATTAATCCCCGCTAGCGTTTTATCGTGTCTCGTAGCGTGACGGGGAAACGTGAGGCTGAGCGCTTCAATTTTTATTTTTTCCTCTTATCGAAACGTTTTTCTTCTAATCTAGGTGCTGGATACGGAAGCTATGGTTACGGAGGAAATTCGGCGACAGCAGGCTATAGTAAGTGGTTTTTCATCTTAAATTTTGAAACCCGTCGATCTGCTGGGGGTGTGAAACTCGGACTGGGTTGCACCGTGCGGTGATGCGCTTGTGCTGAAGCCCATTTAGGGGCTTTTCTCTTTTTTTTTTTTAATTTTTTTTTGGAATGAGAAGTAATGAAAGATGGCTCGTGTGCTCGTTAAAAAGTTAAAACGCGAATCCAGGTGACTTCACGTTTCCTCTAAAACGGTGAATATTTTAAATTTCTCTGCTTTAAGCCACGTGAAGCTATCGGCCACACTTTTGAATGTGATTTTCCTGAAAATACACGGCGATTGGTCTTGAGGAGAAGCCTTCATTGGGGGGTGACAGGAGCAGAGAAATCTAAAACATGACTTTCAAATGTGGCGCATTTTGCCATCTTCAAAAGAATTCTAATTTTTTTTCTCTGCTCTGTCTCCCCCTTTTGTAGGTGACTTTTTCACAGACTGCTACGGCTATCATGATTTTGGGTCTTCCTAGATCATCTAAAAGTATTGCACAAAAAACAGCTTTTTACTCCAATTTTCTCGAACTCCAAAACCCAAAGTGTTCGTGCTGTGTCCCTGTGCTTCACTGGGTTTCTCAACAGTGGCTTTTCACCGCAGCTTGTCTGAAACTCTCTTAGCCTGCAGAACTTAAGACAGTGGCAGTTTTTATTGTGATTTGCCTTTGAACTTGGTCGTATCGATGTACGCAACAGGGGGAACCAATTATCCGAGAATGTTTTTGTGCGCCTCGCACAAATTTCCAAGCCAGCTCCGTTCAGCGTAAAGGCAAAAAAAGCCCATCTTTGCTTTTTATGGAAAGCATTATTTTATTTTTAAGAAACCGAAGCGTTTTAATCTACCTTTGTCTTAATTTACAGCAGGTTTTGTACAAAATTTGAGCCTTTTAATAAATCCCAGCAATTGGGTAGACGCCTCTCGATATTGGGAAGACTTTTCAACATCTCTGAATATAGCACAGCCCAGCTTTTTTTTAAGCATGCAAAATGTTGACTTGTACGTGGAATCGTGTGTGCTAAAATTTAATCCTACATCCTTTGTAACACGCTGGTGGATTAACGCTGAGGGATGTGACTTATTGTGGCTGGTAGCTAGTGTACTTCCAAGGTATTGTAATTAACGCTTCCGATCCCGATACAATAAATATCCAGGCATTAGGGGTTAGTGTAAACGTGTTAGTAACTTCTGAACATGCATGGATTCGTTCGTGAACGTGAAAACGGGCTTTCTTGAGCCAAGCATAAAGGGCCTAAAGCACTTTACGGGCAAAGCGCCGGCGGCTGTGGGCTCGGCAGCCGCGCCGAAAAACGCTCCTCGCCCTCGAGCGTCGCTGGGAGAATTAAATTCCACTGGAATCGAGGAATTGCGGGAAATTTTTGCAATTGGCCAGTCGAGACCCGAGTCTCTGAATTCCGAGTGTTGGGTCCTTTATTCTTGCTACGGTACTTTTATTTTTTTAAAAAAAACCTTGTATTTTGTCACTGTTTTCTAGCTGCAAAGCCTGCGCCCTTGCGTTCCTTTAACTTGTGAGGCTCAACAACATTTGAGTTAACTCAGTAATTAAACTAGCTAAACAAAAAGCAAACCAAAAAACCCCCAAAAAACCTCTAACCTACAAGCACCAGGTTTAAAAAAAAAAAAAAAATCCAAGGTGTTTAGCAGATACTTAAAATAATAATAGTAATTTTTTTGTTTTAGAAAGCTATTGTTTGACTTTTTATACAAGGGAGTGGATCCTGTCCTGAAGGAGGTGGAAAAACTGCCCTTTTTTTAAGTGACTACATGTTAGAGTAACTACTCGTGTGCTGGATATTTTTATTCTTAGCTTTGATTTGGGGGAAGTCGAAACTAATCCGATGCGGAACAGCATTAAAACTTCATAGTTAAATATGAAGTCTTGGTATAAAATGGAAATTCTGGAAATAATTGATTTGGGAGAGATCGACTTCCAGCATCTGCAGCTTGAATTTACACGGTGCCCGTTGTAACCTCTCGCTCCAGAAAAGTCCCTACGTTTGAACCAAAGAAGGGGATTTTCATCCAAGCAACGGAGCGAGGGGTCTCTCATTCAGCGGAGAAGTATTTTGCTACAAAAATTCACGACAGAACCTCTGTTCTGCACAGCTAAATCGTGATCTTCTGCAGAAGAGAGGGGGGAAAAAAAAAAAGAATCTTGCCTAGAAAGTCTTGCTGTAGTGCAGGGGGAGTAGAAAAGAATTGATTAAACGATCAAAAAATTAGAAGTGAGGTGCCTTAGAGCTGCAGCTCTTCACGACACGAGCACACACCGAATTTAGGGATTCGCCCTTGCCAGGAGTCGTCCTGGTAGTTTCGCATGGACTTGCGGAAGCAAAGGGCGCGAGATTTTTACTCTTCGCCTCCTTTTTAACTCGATTCTCGCGCACCTCTCCTCCGTTTCAGAGGAGGTGCTCGCAAACCTTTCCCTCTTTTAGAGGTGTAGCTCCGTTCCCAGAGCGTACGTGCCATTGTGGACACTGGTGGAGGTTTTTAAGTAGATTCTACTGCTTTTTATTCCTGGAAAATAAGTTTAGTTTCAAATACGCCAAGTCTGACCGTAGAGTTAAACCTTCTCACGCTGAGCCCAATGCCCCAAAGTCCAACTTGCAGAAATTGGGCAGGAAAAGAATTGCTCAGAGAGCTTGACTGTAATATGCTTGATAAATAAAATTAAACTCAGACTAACTCTGGCCGCGTCCAGGCTCTCTGGAGTGTTTTGATCCGTTAGAGGTTTTCGGTAACCTTGGATCCCGGCGGCAGTACCTGAATTTTGAGTTTAATTGTGCTGCACGATAGGATAAACTGCACGCACCTCTTAATTTCCGTTGGATTGTTGCTGCTCACTCACTGTGTAAATCCAGACGGATGGCTTGCCGCCTTCGAGCGATCCGCATGGATCTCGACGTTAATTCCTCATTACAGGAACGAGATTCTTCCTCGTTACTGCGTCTCTTGGCTGCAGAGACCGAGCATCAGCTGCCGTAGATGGCTGACTTGTCTCAAATGTAGTTTGAGCACCAGATTTTAAATCTTTGTAGAGCGTTGAAGTAATAACTGTTAGCTATTGTAACGTGCATTAAAGAAACTGTCGTAGCCCTGAGTTTAGTCCTAAACGTTGGGGTGGTGCTGGAATTAAAGCTGCGGGAGAATCGGCTGGGCGTCGTTCACCGAGGTGTCAGGGTGACTGGGCGACGGTACGATGTCGATTGTATTTCACAATTTCCATGTCTACTTAAAAGAACAAGATGTTTCACCTCTCGGCCTCGTGTGCAGTTTGTTAACCCTTTCACCAGCCTAAGAGCAAACCGCTCCTAAACCCTCGCGTTGGTGAGGGTAAAA